TTTAGCTGCTCGGGTTTTTGGAAAAAAAATACCCCGTACCACGGCGTGCAGTACAGGATATTGGGTATATAGTATAGAATAGTATAGGATAGGAAAGGGGGCAGGGGGGTCTTATGAAGGGGGTCGTGTTTAAATCTCATTTTTTCTCGGAGTGGAAGTGCAGAGGACAAATAGAGGTTACGAGTTTAGACCGGGCAAGTTAAGGGAAACTCCGTTTGTTTTTTTTGTTTGAGAGTCACGGGTTAAAGGTCTAAGGTTGTTTGTGCGAGAGTCTGTGCAGGCCGGCACACGTCGCGAGTTGTCGACAAAAAAGTGCGCCGGGGTGGAAAGGTAAGTGAAGTGGGAAACCCCGGCGCGGTGGTGGAAAGAGGGTGAAAGGGGGTGAACAGGGAGGTGGCTCAGAACTACTACTGAACGCAACCCCACTGGGCAGTATTCGAGCCCGGGTTGTAGAGGTGGAAGGTCAGGAAAAGTCACTACCTCATCCTAACGCCTTTAGATAAAATGCTCAGAATAAAGAGTAAGACGAAATGACGAGGTTGTAATTATGAGGGAAAGCCAGTGAAATGGGAATGATGATCAAAGTTGTATAAGATAGAATGTTACGTCTTATTTTAAGAACTGAGATCACGGGGTATCGTTTTGAAAAAAAAATGTACCGATTTTGATCAGGGATTGGAGGTCGACCTCCACCTCTACTCTGAGACAAAAAACATAAAAGACGGCGAGCATAATTTAAAAAAAAAAAGATTAAAACAAAAACAACATAGCATCCGGCAGATTCTTCTACTGATTTTTCTTGTGTCCTCAGGGTAAGCTTTACTTCTATGAGACTATAGTACAGCTGGAGAGCATTGCTTAAAATGTATGAACTGCTCCTGCCTGAAAAGCTCGCACTCTGAAAGTCGGTCTTAAAATAGGACGAATAACTTTTAAGCACTTAAAAATTAAATTAAACGAAACAAAACTAAGGATGTTTCAATTTGATCTCCATGAGTCGCGCAGGTGATAAATCATTCAGCTTTGCACACCTATGGTTGACATCTACATGAGTCAACCGCATGATGAACCCCGTGTTTCTAAATGGAAGTTCTATCTTGTACGCTAGATGGAGGTTTTCGATAAGAGAGAGATCAGACGCTGTGCTAAGGTTGGAATGAAGGCCGCGGCACTCGTCATTGGAAACTTTGACATCAAGACACATGAGTCGTCAAGGCGCAGAAGATCAGCTGCAGTAAACGCCTGGCTGCAGGCCGTGATGTACTGCCCTCTGGACAGAGATTTCGTTCTCGCAATAAACCAAGATCTCGGAGTCGATCCAAGTATAGCCCTGAAAAATGTCGCAGAGTCTTCGGTAACTGCAGGACTCAAATCGTACGCAGAGGCCTTTCAGGTTGGATCAACCTATGAAGACGCTGACAGAGCTATGAAAAATGCAGGGGTCGTGATTGGAGAGATCGGTTTGACCAAGTTGCTTTTATCGTCTCCCAAAGGGCAACAACCGGGTGGTAAACCAAAACTGAGAAGAGAGGGCAGGAAGACGTATGTGGCTAGGAAGACAAAGCCAACGAGTGCTCATAGTGGGGAACTCTTTGGGGAAACACTGAAAGCCATATTAACGCAGAAAGGGGAAATTCGTGAAGGTGATGAAGACTCAGTAAGCCTTGCATCGGTGTCTGGATCTGAATCAGAACCGAAGTTAGCAGTGACGACTGAAGCAAAGGCAAGTCCCAAATCAGAAGTGGGTGCTCAATCAGTACCGTGCTATGCTGTAGTTCTGAGCGCCGAAACAACCACAGAATCAGCACCTGCAATGTCTGTAAAAAAATCACCACATCAAAAACTAAGAATGACTGCTGAAGTAAAGGTGACACCTCCATCCTTTGAAAGCAGACAGGCAGAAGCACCAATGACTGCTGAAGTAAAGGTGACACCTCCATCCTTTGAAAGCAGACAGGCAGAAGCACCCAAATTGGCAGAAGAACGGCTGCCAATGCCGGATTTTAATGACACTATTGGTACTCCACCTTCAGGTCTTGACGTGAGGACGAAAACGCAGCAGGACGTTGATCCCCAGTCTTCTGGTCAGGGTCAAACTAGTTTCACAGGAAAGCTTATTGGAAGCGTGTTACGTTCCGCTGTAGATGTGGCGCCGGTCCCGTCCATAATACATGGCGCCGCCAGCACATACAGTGAGGCTGCAGGCCAATGGCTAGGTGATAAGATTGAGAAAAAGGTCTTTGAAGGCATTGCACGTTTTAAATCGTCGGAGTAAATTCCTGTCAGGTACAGGTGCTGCTAAAACTCATTACACTTACTGAAGTTGGTTTTGAAACGAGAGAGATAGTAAATAACAACGGCTATGAAGTGTACGATTATAACCCAAAGCAAAAGGCGTAGCTATGGCTTACGTAGATGACGCTTATATTTAGAAATAATGTTTTTCTTTCAAAATAAAAGGAATACGAACTTTAGTGTAATCTGCCCCTGTGTAGTGTTTGACATTAATTGCCACGTGAACATAATAGGCATGTTTTTGCTGTACATGGTTCTGCATCAAAGCCTGTCGTATTTATTTGCTTGGTTTATGCAGGAAAGGAACACTATTTGTAACTTAGAATCAATGATCAAAAGCCTTAATTCTGGCGATTTCTAACAAATAGTTTTGATCAGTAGAAATTATAACAACACTATCCAGCACTGCAACTTCTCTAAGGCATAAAGGCACAATGTAGCTTCTTGGCATTCGTAATGTCATCAGATTTTTTTGCCCTTGTTTCCCGATGCTAATCCCTGTGTAGCAGCAAAATTAAGGAACTTGAAATTCAAGTGTGTTATACAGAAAATAATCATGTTGTTGTTGAATACCCCCGTTTTGGTCCATTGCAAAGAACCAAATATAAATATACAGAAACGTGTTGTATCAGTATATGTCATGTTAAATTGTTGCAACACATATGTAGCCTGATGCGTAGGCGTCGATGGAGTATTGTACTCCCGAAGCGAAATAAGCCCCTGAGGGTTCACAACCTCCATCCCATCATAACAGGTTACAAACGTTTTGTTAAAGGTTTGTTTCAATGGTGGACAGTTAGTGTGTTTTTGAGTGAAACGGGTGTTTCGATGGCGTTCAATAGTGTGCAGTATCCACTAGTGAATTTCTGCGGGGTTTTCCCAACCTGAGAAATTATAGGCAGATGTTTTGGAATTACGTGGAAACTACATAGTAAACAAGGCGACATGTTAATGACTTATTGTCAACACTTTCATACTGTTTGTAAGTTAGAATATAAACGCATTTTATACTGCATAGCATAATAGCATAATCGTATTATAAAGCTATAAATAGGCTACCCAAGCTCCAATGCAATGCTAGTGCTAAAACATTTTGATTGGACATGAGCAGAGTTGTACAATATACATGTGCAGGTGGGAATTAATGTTGCAAGTAGTGCTTCGTGTATAGTGAAACTTGCACTATTCTATTTCATTTAATCACCGTTTTTCACCGTTTAATTAATAATAAATGATACCGTTTAATAATAATAGCGTTTAGGTCAAGCAACCCGAACTTTTCAATGAAGTGAAACAGAAGCGACAGATAAATGCAAGGAGAGAAACTGGTTTATCTGTTATGTGAGATACATGCTACACTGCAAGTTTCTCTCTGTTTTTCATTGTTATGTCACGTTGACGACCGTTAACTGTTCTGTGGAGTCTGGGCTGTAGGAGTAATGTATAATATGAGTAAACACTTAATACAACCTGAGCACTAACTCAGCACTAACTCAGCACTAACTCACTAACGATCAAAAATTGGCTTCCTTGCGAACAGGGCCTATTTTTCCCCGGACGGAAGTCAGGATCTGTTTACCAGAGACTCGTCATAGGAGTTAATTAATCTTGTACCCTTTTGACAAACGTAATTATAATAGTCATTGTGTGTATATAGTTTTGTAATGATATAGCCACTATGGATTTATCAGACGTAGTACAATGAATGGACTTTAAAATTGTCCTATATACCTAAACAATTAATAGTTAAATATATCAGTGTTTTGGATCTGCGGTTTCCCTATGTTATTATAGTAGTATTTGCGCCAAGACATTATACGAGACTATGCAGGATAGCGGGACAGAGAGCACCCCCTGCACGCACACAAACACCTGTTTTGCATTCTGTTATTTTCCTGTGGTTAAGGAAAAGAGGAAAATATGAGGAGAATGTTCTTTTGTTTCCAGCTATGATAACTCCTTCGATCTGAAATTTTGATGATGAGTTTTTGGAATGTTCCTCTTCATTTTGCTAAGAATAAGTGTGCGTGTCCACACTACGTAATACGCCATTGCACCCTACATTATGTGGACTTCTTTTGTGCAGAGGTCCACTCTATGTATGCCACCCAAGTAGTGTGGGGGGCCTATGTAGTACACTTTTTATAGTACATTTTTGAGAGTACACTTTTGAGAGTACACGAGGGTACAATGTTACCTTGCTTACGAAATTATTGCGCATGATGAAACAGGATGAGTAATATAGTGTGTGATGGCATACTGACTGGCCTTTCAGGAGATCCTATGGTAATCAAGGAGAAGAAAGCGATTATCCCTACACAAAAGACAGCTCATGCGACCCCTGCGTGGAGGGAGTGGCCTCTTTTGTAGAGGCCACTGGAGTTAATTAAGGTAATTGTTTTTCCAAATGCAAAACTACTTACCATATCCTAATCCTGTTTATGCTGAAAATCCTGGTTTAGCCACTTTAAAGCCAGGACCTCCCCTAGCCAAAAAAATGTTTTAAAAATCCAGCCAGCGTCCAGCCAACTACCATAAGACTGTGTGTTCAGTGGCCCCATGTGTACAATACAATGAATCATTTACAAAAACAGTGCCTGGGCCAGGCAGTGGAATGTTTCATATCAGTGACAGCTGTCTGGGACGTGTCAGAGGCCTGTTTCGGCTGTCTTTGAAGTGTTATTTTGGTGGGAAGGGGTGTTCTGGTGGTGGTGTGGCTTGGCTGGCGCGTGGCGAGCCCCCCCCCCCCAATCGGGATAGCTTCGGAAATGGGCTCCCCACCGGACTGTGATGTACTTTTGGTGGTTTTAATTAAGAGCTGTAGAGGCTAAGGGACAACCACTGAGGCATTTATATACCTTTGAGACGGATGCAGGGCTCTGCAAACCTGAGGAATAATACGGTCTCTTCTGGCGAGGCCGTTCCCACCACCACGTCAAAACAATTCCTACCGCGTCCCAGGGTTTTAATTAATTAATGATTACATTGTGTACGTTAAAAGTGAGCGTCGTTCTGACTTAACCTTTGGACACTAAAGGTGAGAGGGCGCCCACCTGCTAACGGTCTTGCGCTTGGCTTACAAACTTCGCTTACTTCGCTTAAAATGGAGAATTCAAGTTCTTGTTTTCATTATTTGATAAATTAGATTTCGTTTTGAGGAAAGATGTTGCTAAAGATAATGTGTTGTTAAAGGCTAGACAGCCCATCTCTGGAAGATAATTTTTGAACACATGATGCCAAATGTCCTTGGCTGCTCAAGCGCAGGAACAGCCAACAGAAAACAAATGCTAGCTTAGCAACATGGGTTTCTAGCAAAGCAATGTAGTGAACAGTTTGCGAGTTTTATCTAGCCTGACTTGTGCTTGGTTAGGAAGAAAATCTGTTGAGCAATATCATTCCAATTAGCATGCAGCAGCTTGAAATGAGCTTTGGTGTTCTGGACAAATTTAGAGGAGATAGGAAGCTAAGGAGTTTTGCCTAGCTATATATTTTTGAAAGTTTTGTTTGTACAGCAGTAGACAGTACTGAGAAGTATTCAGAAACCGATGCAGTGCTCTGACAAGGTTGGTCCTGGTTGAGATCCTGGAAGAAAGTGGAAAGGTGTATTGTTTGTCAAATAATGTAACAATAAAAAGTATCAAATCTTTAAAACGTCTGTTTTAGTTTTTATTACATTGGTTTGTGTACTTTTACATGAATTGGTAGCTGGTATGGGATGCATCAATGTTGCAAATGCAGAACAAAAGTTTGTCGGGTCATATGTAAAGAATCTTTACTCCCAATGGTAAATCTAACTTAATGGATGTCATTGCACTTGCAATTATGTTAGGCCTATACAGACTTGTTCGCCCCCTCCCAGTTGTACGTCAAACGGATTTCCTATTGCCAAGCCCTCCATCGCACACTTCTCACAATTTTTCACTTGCAGGTTGCATGATGACTCCAGTGCTTTCAACAACCCGAAGGTAACCCACGGCAGTCGGCCAACCGATTTTCTCAATTTCAGTTACCCAACTCTAGCTATGGCACTCACGATTAGCACACGTCGTTGAAGCAAAATAGCAGCTAGTCGTATAAAAGTAGAAAATGGGACTTCTGATACACGTTCCCGACAGAGCCAATCAGCCGCAGCCATAAATTTCAAGCTTCTTTTTCAGTTTTATAAATCCAGTATTTTTTTTTAATTTTACTTCCTGCCAAGGTAGCTACATTTACTGTGCTATCATGGAAAGAAAAATCAACTAAATCTGGTTACATGGCTGAGTAGGTAAAATTCTTCCAATTAAGCTTACCATGCACATTTTCATCTTCAAGTCCCTGACATATCTGCAGATACTCGGGGGAGTCCAGGAGTGTCTGAAAGGCAGGATTCCACCAGTCCGCCAGAGTACTATCCTTCCGCGTCATCATGGCCTGACCACCGATGGTACATCGGTTGAGCTTGTCCGAGGCTAGCTGGAGATACTTGGTTATCCCCAAAAATTCTTTCACAAAGACCGCGTCCACCTGATGATAAGAGGATGACAGTTGGCGTCCTAAATTGTTGCAGCTAATGTATGAATTGTTTGCATAGGTCTTTGGTTTTTACCATTAAACTAGGGGCAGTGATAAAGCACTTTTTTAATTTAAATGAGACCTATATGGTCTGTTAAGCGCTTCGGCGAAAATTTTATTTCTTCGGTTGATCATTGACGGGACAGAGGAGAGTTAGGGAATTTTTTTCATAGTTTAATTGTTGGACTTTTTCTGCAAGTGCATCCTTGCTTTTGTTTCAAATGAACCTTCAAGTAAACCTTCAAGAAAATTACCTCTCCATTGCTAACAGCTGTGAGAAGGTCCTGCTCATTCACGTAATACTTCACTTGATTACGAGACAGATTGCGGCCCTAAAAAGAAACAATTCAAATACATTGTAATATGATGTATGAGTTATGTTAATGAAGAAAGGATTAAACTATCAGCTATCGGTACCTTTTTGCGAAGATGCAGGTTTACTTTGTGCTGAAGATTAATTTACAGAAGCCAACAGGCAAAGGGATAGCTACTAATTAAATTGACAATGAACTAAATCTTTGTAGGAATTGTAAATATTTTCACGACACAACCGCACTAAAGAGACAATTTACAGACATCAATTATGGACAGCTCTCGCCATTTAGCTGGGTTTACTGAGGTGCAGTGTTTTGCCCCTGACCGTTATTTCGGGAAACCTCGTGATGCAAGTAGCATCCTCTGTGTACGACTGAAGGAAGCCAATAGTCTTGCCCGTTAGATCACGCCAGTTGAAAGAACCCAGGTCACCTCTCGATGCAATCATAAAAACAGCCAAATCCTGCTTGCTCATATCCACAGTGAACTTGAAGGTACGGGACCTGGCATACGTTTGAGGCCACGCTGGATAAAGAAGAAAATCATTTCCGAAATGAAAAAAATGCTGGATAAAGAAGAAAATCATAATGTCCGATCACGCCACGTGAATAGTAATCATTACTTCCTATGGAAATATGTGACCTGTCACCACAAAATGAGCTGAAGGTCGGAAGTTTCAAAAACTCGGATATTGGTATTGTTGAATTCAATAGAAAGAGAGCTTTCAAATTGCATGTACATGACACTCTTAGGGTAAAGGTGTAAAGTAACAATGTGACAGCTTTGCGTCTTTGTTTCCGACATTGTTTCAATATTTCAGACCAGGCACAAACAATACTACTGTCAAAATTGCTGAGGACATAACATTTTTAAATAATGTGATTCTACAAAATATTATTAAAAATATTAAACAAGAGACAGGCTACCGGTACTCTTTCCAAATATTACAAAACCCAAAAATTGACGTCCACTTCAATATGACTTTGATTCTTCAAAATAAGAGAGAGTGGGATACGACTTTTCTGTCGTGTTATCGTGACAGGTCACAGACGGAACCAAGTACAATGTGGGTCATGTATATGAAGGAAACCAAACATCACTGGAGTTGTTCATGTGAACCCTATTCGTTTATACGTTAACAGCAGCTGTAACTCCTTATACGGCTAAGGGGTCAGATTTCTGCAGAACTGTTGGGTCTGCGTAGGTCAAACATCCTCTGCCATCACAAAATATGTTTATACGCCTCTATCTGTATAGACACCGCTTATTGTAATAATATACCTTGCCCGGGAACACAAACGCAAAGATCCAAGTAGGGCCTGGGGCGATTATCAGCATCAAATTGTAAACTTATAATGTCACTATGGCCCGAAATATATCAGACCCAGCAAAGATATTAATATTGTAATAATGATAAATACAAAGGAGGCTGTCAACGTAATCCTGGATACCTGTGCATGCGTCATACCAACCGCCTTGAAGTCCGATTCCAGGCCTAGGTGATTCACCAGCGACGGTCTCCCAGCAGCGCCCATACACGTCCCACACCAAACTGCACTGTTTGTTTGCTATCCGGCAAACTGTACAAAACAAGGCGAGAATAGTTTTGAGTGTAGGGATATTTAATGAAACAACATATCGGTACCTCAAATGATGTGTTTGCTTTGAACGTGACTTTTGACTTCTGTGACTAATGCAGTGACTTAAGCATGTCGCACACGGTGCTGCTAAAAAGCAAAGCATGTTCACATTGAACGAGGGCTCACGTCGCTTTCAAGTTTTGAATTAGAGTCAGAAAGTTGACCCCTGGTGGTGCGCTTCCGGAATCCTTGGATAGAAGAAATAACGTGCAGCAATTTCAGAATATATATTTTTTCGTTGGTTTACTTCTTTAAAAAACACCTCGGTACAAAGCCTTTGGAAAATATTTGCCAGCACATTAACTTAACATAAAAGTTACATGACCTGAGAAGAGATATCATGGCAAAATTGGACCTCTCATTTATAAATCTGAAATACACGAAGACCAGTGCAATTCAGTGGTCTCGTACGCAGAATTGCAAAATTATATTAAATGGCTGTCTGGCAGTAAAAGCTAAAATAAAAACAGATCAAGCTATATGAGTATTTTACACTTAATAAGTAATTAAACCAAATAGAATAATATAGTCGGCGTTTACGAAAGATTCTACAACTTAATCCAACCGTTGCTGACAAGGACAGCGTCAGTAAATCTTTGCAACGTTGTACAATCTCGTTTACGGGAAAGCTTATAAAGTGAAAACAAACGTGAATGAATGATAAGTCCAGGGAATAATATTGCTGAAAGTGAAAATCCGTGAATAAATTTCGTTTTTAACCCATCTCCAGGTGACTTTTCCAAAATATGACTTGAGGAACATAAAGGAAAATTCCGACATCAGTATTTTTAGGGTTGTTTCAATTAGCAGTAATTCTTCAAAAAATATCTAGGATATCTAGGTGATAGGAAGATCCCATGCAAAATCCACACAGGCGGACCGCACGATGGTTCCGGAAGCTTGCCAAGTTACTTTTTACTTTCAGGCTCTATATAAGCAGGAGACAGTTTGTGTTACCCGAGCTGTGAACCTGTCTTAGCGTTGGATTCAGCTTTGTTTGTGCCTGTGTTACAACTAAACCAGAACTGAAGGTTGGGACGGGTCCACTGCCCGTTCAGAATGGAGTGAAATAAATACACAATTTTCGTGTCGTCTTCAAAATAACTGAACTGTGTATCCCCAGAATTATTATTGTATGCACAAAACCAAAACAGGTATTTTCTTGTACAATGTGAGTAATAGCAGTAAGGGAAATTTAGTGAAAATAGTTTTTCTCAAAGTCTTCTAGTCTGTTACCAGTTACTTTAATTTATCAGATGACGTAAAAGTTTCTGGGTCTGAATTTTAGCGGTCTGCCCTAAACACATTCCTAGTTTATTGCTTAGACGTACTGGTAATTAATTAATACGTTTCTGGTTAGGAGTCTCGAAAACACAATCCCAGCTTTAAAAATTAGCTACCCTGACGTGCATGCAGGACCAAATATAGAAATAATCTGTCTTTGCTGGTTCATTGATTCGTTCGATACATAAAAGACATGATTTTTGTCATGTACCTCGACAATCAACACCGTACCCCCCTAAAAGCAAATCCTGAACTGACCTGCGTTAATGATGTCAACATTGTAGCCACGGACCTCTCCACTTGCAAGATCGCTGAATGCCGGGGAGCAGAAAAAAAATGTTAGCAAGGAACGTCATAGCATCCATCTTTAATACGATATTTACATCTTTCCGTTTCTTTTTGTGTGAAAACGTGCATGTGTTCATTTCTTGTTAAATAAATGAGCCAACTGCGGTTTTCACTGTAAATTACACTCGAAAGTCCGTTTTTGATTTTTATTTTAGCCTGTTTTGAAATCCTGCGAAACAACTATCTTAAGTCTCACCTGCATTTTACTATTAAAACTCGGCATAAAAGACAAAACATTGTCTTCTTCATTCTCAACTAGCTTTTGATGAGGGCGCTATTGAGCATACAAGGTATTGACTGTGGGGAAAACAACCTACTGATTGAAGTTCCATCCCATTTAAACGCCAACACTGAAGACCGGGGGATGTTAGCAGAGATTGAGACTGTACTGAATGAAGTCTGAAATGACTTACAGATACTCAAGCCTGACGTTATAGTCACTAATGGCAAACAGCCAGACACGTTCATCATTCAGTGCGGAGTCTCCACTGACTGGTGATGGGAGTGAAAAAAAAAAAAACAAATCTGATAAAATAGGAAAGTAGTGAAGCAAGCACATAAAAGGCAGCAACTGCAGTAGAAAATTCTGCTTGCAGAATTTTCCCTCCGAAAAAGTATTCTGGCATAGTCTGAGGCAAATTTTGCTGGAACGTTGATGGTGTATGTGATTGTCTGAAGTCTGAATGTAGACAGGCGAACAAATTTTAAGCTCACTTTGCACCCTGTTTTATAAAAGAAAATTGTGCAAAGTCTGCAGGAGGTAGAGATGTTGTTCTTTGTAAATCACATGCACATTTGAAGTCTTAGTTGAAGCATGCCTACATGTAGTATAAGTCATTCTTTTATTGACCAAAGTGCAGTAATTTTAATTATCTACTTTAAGATGCCAACAGAATAAAATTTTAAGGAACCCACCCGTAGCTTGGAAGTAATGTAGCAAGTTGACGTAGTGTATTCGGATGCAGTGTTTGCTAAAAAGAGTCATTGACTTTGGTGAAGAGAATACACAGTTATACACTAAGTTCTGCCCTTTCTGACAGGTGCATAGCCTACCTGGTGTGGGTGAAGTGAGTGGTCCAGTCCCGCTCGAAACATTGACAAAGATATCACCCCTCCGAGACAGACCCAATCCACCGATCAGCAACGCGATAAAAGCCACTATCACGGCCACAACTGTCATTACCAGTAAGACTCTATCGCTAGAAGGAAAGCGAATCGGTTTGGGAGGGTGTACGATGTGTGTCTGCGGAGCGTGGATCACCTGACGAGACACGGGCTCTCCGTCGAGTTTCGACGGCATATTGTAGTTTCCATTCCCAGTCTCTCCTGAGGGGTCGTCAAGGGATACTACATGCAGTTTGTCATCGTCAGGAAAGAGTATTCCTGGTTCCTCGTGCCGTTTGTTTTCCATAGCCTCAATCCCACTGTGTTTCCCAATGTCATGCACCACCGAGATTTCGATGAAATGTTTTGCACAAATCTCTACCTTCAAAATGTATATTGATAAAATACACAAAATAGAGGGTCTCTATAACAAGCCAAACCATGAACCTGAAAAAATGATACAGCACTACGGGCAACTTCATTCAAGCGATCTTTTCCTATCTGTTGGTTATCCACGCATAACTGCCCCATTTTGGACGTGGTGTTTGGCAGCCACAAATCTATTTTTACAAAGGGATGCCACGCTTCGTTGGTTCTCGTCAAAAAACGACCTTGTCCCGCCAGAACACTTTGTTAATATCGGGTTACCAGGGTGTCAAGATCCCATGCCTGACACAGGGATCATAGTTTACCAATACCAATATAAGGTCAAGGTATCAGGCTCAATGAGAACCACACTATAAAACCCAACTTTAAGTCAAATATTCCCATTGTCATCTATGTTGTTAAAAAAATAAGTAACTGCAGGATAAATCCTTCCCATCCGTTGGATGTATCAATATATTTTGAAATAGAAATAAATTAACAAACCATTAGTCCGTCTTTACACCAGAAACCTTTATTCCCTCCAGAGACCATTGTGCCTCATTTCCTTATTTTTAATCATCAAGCAATTCATAACTGATTACTACGTTAGAGAGCACAAAATAATTTTACAAATAAAGTAAATTAAAGTACACGTAAGTATGATTAGGACTGACCAAATTATAAGCAGAATTTCAACGGGTTAGTTTCACAATACCTGAAATATTAAGCACAATTCCTATTGTACAACGGGAAGAAATCACTTTTTGAAAATAGTATTTGTCCATGACAGTAAAGATCCTCAGTTGCTTATAAATAGGCCAACACATATAAGCGTTACCTTCTTTACATTGCATATTGCATGGTACAATCGCTCAAAGTTGGAACTGAGGCACAAAATGGGGGTCCCACTCGTTCAGCACTCCTGCATTGACACTGGGAAAAACTGCTTTATTCAGTTTTATGTTTTCAGAACGTGGCAGTACTGCAAAATACACTACTCAAAAGAATTAAAGGAACAAGAGAACATAATGTTTTCGTCATGGTCTATACGGGCTACCGTTAGAACAAGAGGCATTAAAGTTATGTGAAAATCACTAACTTTAATGCCTCTTGTTCTAATGGTAGCCAAGATAGACCATGACAAAAACATTCTGTTCTCTTGTTCTTTTAATTCTTTTGAGTAGCATTTTACATCAGAAGGTCAACATCTTGGCTAAAATATGTTGTCATCCAATGATAAATACATCAAGGTCTCTACGGGTCGGGTGTGCACTTCCAGAGCTCCGCACCAAACCAACTTGAAGCGCTTTCCCCACTAGAATGAAGCCCATGTCGCTTGGGGAGAGTTTAGAGACTTGTTGAATGTAATGGGGAGGGACTAAAGACAAAGAAGCCAAATCGAGAAAAACTGCAACAATATGAGTGCGACCTTGTAGCGGTGCACATAATGCATACTCGTGGGGCGATAAGTGATATACATGCAGAAAGTATTTTCCTCAAATATTCTAATATTCCTACATATTACTTATTCAATTGCTGTCTGCATAGCCTCATTTGTAACTGAACCTTGACAGCGAGAAAATCCTTTTTGTCACCGGACAAACAAATTTCAGGCTTGATGCTTGTATATAGTGACCTTGCTTGCTATTTGTTGGGCCGACAGGACCAAAGAACGAGGTATACAACCAATCCTTGTCAAAATGTCATGATGACTTAAAGCCCTTACGGGGTGTGAGCATTGAGCGGCGATTGCTACAGGGGAGACTTTCATTTACATGTTCCCGTGCAAAAATCGAAAGATATCCACAGATGTAAGAGATAAGACCTCTCCTCTCTCCAACACCATCAGCCTTAATCAAAGTTTAACTATTTGCCAAATTAGCTATTTTGCGAAGTTCATCATTGTGTGAAAAAAGTGATAAATCCCATCCGACCTACTGTAAATTTTACTGTAGAACTATTCTTAACCGATCATTTCGACATTGCTGTGCTGAGCCTTCGCTTAATAATAAACCCTAATATTATCAGATAACCAGATTAAAGAGGCTGTTGAAAGGCCTTGCATCACACAGGTGAGATTCTTATGCTGATGAAATGGCAGTATGCAGTTTCACAGCCGACAATACTGCTGACCCCAGCCCAGCGTACAGGCGTGTTTTTCTTTGGTGCTCAGTGGACCATGGGTCGGCTCGCAATGGCTCCACAGGAAAGTGTTGGGTAAACAAAGTTTGACGTCATCAGTGCGTATGTTTGAAGGTATAGAAGTTCGTACAAAGCTTATGTAACGAATATATTTACAAACACTGCCATTTTTCAAGTTAACGATTTCAAGATCTTTTTGTAAGGGTTGGGGGAGCAAACCAATCGGAAAGTATTTTCATTTAATACCATTCTGAGGAGTGAGACTACATTTTGGGGCTTTTTGATGTTTTCCACACCGAGGAAGGGAAATGAAATAGAACCACAATAAGTCGCCTTTCCTTATTTTCAACAAAATCGTGTTAGCCTTTTGAGGGAGAAGCATCGCCCATGTTTCCCCACGTGGTCCGTCCTTGGTCTGCATCCCCGTCCCAGAGTCATTCTATTTAGCGTCGACGAGCTTCAGCAAGTAGTAAAATCATACTTAACAATAGTTGGGCTCCTACATATCATATTCAATGTATCACATTATATAAAATGGTATTTGAGTGTGGAAATTTCCTGCAACAAAGTCGGGCCTGCTCGTGCATCCCGACTGGCCGCCATCTTGTTTTCGCAGGCGGCAGAGAAAAATAAGATGGCAGCACCATACATCGCGTAAAAAACAACATCATTCTCCTGCGAGAATCGGGAAATAAATTCTGTTTCTCTTACATAGTGGCAGATGTTAGGGTCTGTACAGTATGATAAAACCACTTTTAAATCTGTATAGGGTATATTCAGGTGGTTGTCGCTTGCTGACGCTAAAAAGGACGACAAGAAAGGGGTTACCAGCCAAAAGGCACGACAAAGGACATTGGTGAAACATATTCTCCTGTTATTCTCGCTCAACACACACATTTACTAGTCAGTGTATGCTGAACACCCCAATGAATTGGCTGAGAGGGTAAATTTATGAACCGGTGCCACTGAGAGTCAACTGAAATATTTTCAGAGAGAAGTTAGCCAGTTTCCTTACATACATGCACTCCGACCTCAAACGGAGCCATCACGATCTCCCTCCTTCATTGCCCGTCCACAAACATACGCCGCAGTTCTGCCCTGGGCACCAGACGAACCCATTAATTCCCTGATGTCACCTATGTAACTATCTCCTGTTTCACCTTCCATAATCAGCGCTGACTTTGATAGGTTGTCTGTCCTTTGCCAAACAATACGTCAATTTGCAGCTCGCTACTTGTTAACGTAGTTGACGTCGTTGCAGCCCTCACAGAAAAGATTCATAAGATCTGAGTTCTCTCCAGCTAGTTCTGAGATTTTGGTTGCAAAACATTTTAAAGGCCTCGATTCCCTTGGTGTAGTCTTTCCTCAGAATCCAGCATTGATTTGTGGACTGTGAATTGCAACAGCGATTCTGTGCTTATTATAACTGTGTCGAGACTGTAGCGCTGAATGTGACCCAGATTGATCCTTGAACACATCTAGTTCCAGAAAATACCATGGTAATATGTTTCATACATCATATCTTTGGAAAATAAAGACTTAGCTTACACTACAAAAACTGTAGAAAAACTAAAAACTATAACAACTGTATAAACTGTAACCCTAAAAGTAAACATAGACATTTACTGTTCCAAGTATCTTTTCATGCGTAAAATAGTATAAATAACTTTTCAATTATTAACTGAATATCTAAATAACGTCAGGGATTATTATTGTTTTGTAGTCCATAACCGGTAAAAACTCCTCAAGCCTCAACTCCTGAAAAATGCACTTTGTTTACAAGTTGCAAAGGGCGAATCCGCCTCCTGCTCTTTTGGGTTAAACCTATACATTGTACTTCCGCAAAAATATAACAAAAAATACCAGTTATGATTCCACAAAAATATAACAAAAAATACCCGTTATGATCCGTGCAAGTTTGAAACGGAGCCAGACTAAGAGCCTTCCAATGTGACCGTGAGCCTGTAATACGACAATTTTGCTCATGTGATGTAAGCCTTGCCGAAGTCAGCAATTAGGGTTGGGTTACTGGATGATCATACAAAGTGTCTCTTCAAGCATTCTTCAAGCATTCTTCAAGCCCTAGCTTTTCCCCCATAATCTTCAAAATCTGTGAAGGTAGCTGTTTAGTTGAAACTTAGAGTATCATCATACTGAGAGGATAGCGGAGCTCAAAAACCAACGCAGTGTTCCGATAAGGTAGGTCCAGGTTGTGAGCCTGAAGAAAAACATTAAACCATGCACCACGATAACAACAGTTCAGAACAAGGGGATACGTGGTTAGAGCATTAATCAACACAATTCCAAACAAAATTATTATCTCGTCCAAATCAGTGTTTCAGTTGGTAACTGTGAGGCTCAGCACAATTGTTTTTATCAATCACAACGTTCTCAAGAGACGCCAGGTATCCCCTACATCATAAGAAAACTGCATGTACTACTTGAAAGCTGCTTCCTGGTACAGTTTTGTGGATTGAAATTCCAGTAAAACGATAAGGGGAACGCTATATCTTAATACTATATACTATAATACTATTATACTATAATAAAACCTGCTTTCACTGCTGAGTAATTTAGCTAATCAAATTAGCTTACCATGAACATTTTCATCTTCAAGTCCCTTACATATCTGCAGATACTCGGGGGAGTCCAGGAGTGTCTGAAAGGCAGGATTCCACCAGTCTGCCAGAGTACTATCCTTCCGCGTCATCATAGCCTGACCACCGATGGTACATCGGTTGAGCTTGTCCGAGGCTAGCTGGAGATATTCAGTGATCTCCAAGTATTCGTTTACAAAGACCGCATCCACCTGTTAGAAAGAAGGAAAGATGGCTCTGTAAAGTTATCAGAAAGCCGTTTTGGTATGCATCTTGACAGTTCAATTTAGTTCCAAATAGACCAAGTAGCAGCTGTTGTTTTGCTTATTTCACACTGGGGTACGTTGGAAACCTATCGACTAAAACAAAAACGTGACAAGCAGGTTTGCATCCTGGGGTGTCATAAAAAGGGTTGGAAATGCAATGGCATAGTATCCTCAGATGGGATCTCGAGACTAAGAGATCCATAGCATGTTTCTCCGGATCAAATGTTGAAGAGTACATCAAATCCCTCAATCTGGTGCATTTTAAGGCCAAAACAGACATGTCAGAGACTTCTGGTTTTGTAGCAGTTTTTAAGTGAGGATTATATCATTACAACAGAGGCTCACGGAGATAGGAAACTGGGATTTGTTTGAACACACCGATCCCCTTCCCTTGCTTATGCCCCCGGTGACAGTACACGATAAATGACTCCTGAATGGCTCACCATGAGCCCCTCCAGTAAAACATAGTTGGAAATATCCTTTCGCATAAAAGTAAGTCCAAAACAGACTTTCAAATACATTACCTCTCCATTATTGACGGCTGTGAGGAGATCTTGTTGACTTACGTAGTACTTCACTTGATTGCGGGCCAAGTTGTTTCCCTAAATGAATGAGAATAGGTCAGTTAGCAACATTTAGATTTATCAGTACGATTACGTTTCGGTTGCCACTCGAGGGGCTCAAAAATATCAAACTTACTCCCTGTGTAAAGATTTATAATAACTGAGGTATGCCATTTGGTTATAGCAACGAATGTCACAAAAATTCAGTGATGAAATATGTAACTACGTTGCTTCCCAATACTTCTTTGTGTTATCTGGCTCTGGAGCAACTGCAAAGGAAAGTCAACTGCTTTTTTTTTAATTTTCGATTTTTAAATTAAGACGCTATGCACGGATCATGTAGCTCACGGTTATCTCTGGAAACCTCCTGATGCACGTGGCATCTTCTGAGTACGACTGGAGGAAGCCAATGGTCTTGCCTGTCAGATCACGCCAGTTGAAAGATGCTAGGTCCCTGTCCGTGGCAATCATAAAGACCGATAGGTGTTGCTTGCTCATATCCGCGGTAAAATTGAAGGTGCGGGACCTGGCGTAGGTTTTCGACCACGCTGGAGAAAGAAATCGCAATTTGCAAATGCTAAAACATACGAAACAGCAAAACCAATCAGAGTAAAATCCATGATCGACAACAATCCAGGAACACCTTCCCCTTCCCCCTCTTTCGTGGTTTTGTGGGCCTACCTGTGCATGCGTCATACCAACCGCCTTGAAGTCCAATACCAGGTCTAGGCGATTCACCTGCAACAGTCTCCCAGCAGTGTCTGTATACGTCCCACACCAAACTACACCGTTTGTTTGCTATTCGGCAAACTAAAATTAATGACACATGCCATAACAAATACGTTAATTATGGTAGTGCATGGGTCATTCAAAACATGACATATGCCAGTTAAAACTTGAATTGCATGCCATTTACAATAACTAAATCACTAAGAAGGCACAGATTAAATGACATTAAACATACATGTAATATGAGACACTGAAATTTCACAGAATTATTTGAATAGAATTTTAAGGATTTGGTCTAAGATAAGGAAGATGATGCATGTAACTGTTAAAGTAATTACATGTACATCATCCAAATCAGCATGCATCATTCTTCTGGAAATTCTGCGATGTCTCTCTTTGCTGGAAATTTGTTATTTTTCCTCCTAATAAGCCTAATGACAAAGTATTCCCCCCGCTTAAAACTACTTTGTTCACTTTGCAACCACACCGGTGAAACTCGTAGACGTCACTGCGTGCTAGTTGATCTGGTGCTTTGTTTCTGTTTTGACAAATGTGGAAATTACACGCCGCTGCAGGAGTATGTGCGGCACCCAACGGCTAATCGTTTTTTCCCCCTTTACGTGGTACAGAGACTATCTAAAGATAAAACATCAACGACGACCTGTATCAACGTAATGTACTTCCCCAGATAAATAATATGTATAATGGAAGATGAACCCCCAACAGACTGATGACATAATAAGAAACGCAAGCAATTCCTTTTAATGACAGCATACGAACAATCCACACATTAACCCTTACCCTCCTCAATCCTTCACCTGTAGGAGGACTGAGGAGTGTTAGGGTTATAAACAAAACAAAAACTGTACTGACCTGCCTTAATGACATCAACATTGTAGCCTCGAATCTGTCCACTTACCAGGTCACTGTGACAAGAAGAGAAATTATCACAAAATTGATAAACATTGAAGAACACCTCTAAGGAAAACGCAATGGCTACACACAATGGCTAGATGCATAGTTTGACATGCACAGGCTTTACATATATCTACATGCACTACGGACACAGGGCGAGGGGTCCCATTCTTTACTCTGTTTTCAAAGAACGACGCAATCTGCATTGAGAATTTGCATCTTGGCATGATCAGCAAAAAGCCCCTTCAACCTTATTGAAGTTGAGCTCTGAAGACAAAATGACATTGCATTCGATATGGATGCTTCCATATTTATTTAACAGATAAAATCAGAGAAATGTGTTTTCCTTCGATGTGCTCTTTAAACATTTAAAATTTCACAGCCACTTATCCACATTAAGTATTTGTTTTCCTTTTCGACAGAGTGAACACATGCTAGACGTACCCTTCCACTTTGTCAAATAAAAGGGAAGGGCTGCTGGCAGCCTGTTATTGGCCGTGTGCCAATTCCATGATCAAAGTTTAGAGGAAATGAAAAAAGAGCTTCAGAAACGTGAAACTAGGAAAACAAACGATGCAAAACGAATAGGCCTACACCCTTCGGGCTTGTATCTATACTGACAACTTTCATATTGGTAGTTTTGCAAAATCCTCTCAGAGTTTGGGAAAAGAATGGCGATCGCGAAAATCACTCGTCTATAATCACGTCCAACATTTTGATTTGCTCCAGCATAGGGCGAAGTTCTTTTACATGTAGGTCTAAATTCAACCAAAACTCATTGTAAGGGGTATAAGCAGCCTTATCTATAACTTTCACATCTTGCCCGTGGAAAAACGATAACATGGCAGGGTTCTCAAAGCGTTGGAAAGTCATGTCGGGGTTCATACGTTAGCGTGAGAGTGCCAGTACATGGATGAGGTGACCGAATGAGGGCGCCACAGGAGGACAAATAACAACATGAACGTTCAATACTGTGAGATCAATGAAAAACAGCCCAGTTGTGCATCCAGCAGAGGACGGAGGTACTGGTCCCTGACAGGGACACATGCTGCCGATTTTGTTTTCAATTGAAAGTTTTGATAATTCCAAAAGGTACCGCCACCCCTCCACTGGAAAGGGAAGGACGGTGGTGACAAATATTTACTATTGAAAAAAAAAGATCGTAGATTTTTAATCAATTTCCCCTCACCTTGGCCCCAAACCTAGATATGTCACTAAAATAAACAAACTCTAGACCAGTCACAGAAACAGCAACTTCACCCCAAAAATCGAAAAGCCCTAACAGTCCCAAGTCCTCCAATTTCAATAGTTTACACACATCATGGTTAAGGGGTAAAAAGCAAAATAAGAGACTGGACCTACTCACAGGTATTCCAGACTGACATCGTAGTCTCCAATAGCAATCAACCACACTCTGTCATCCTCACTAGTTTCACCCTCTTCTGCAAAGTGAAAAAGAAAAACCATTTCTTTGAGTGGGAATGCTGGGCTTGAATCGAGGAAACCTAAATCCACGCACATTGGCCTAGGGGTGTGTCTTCTGGAAGACCTTGGCTATGAGAGGCTTTATTCCCCAAGACTGGCTTTCACAACGTGTCAGTTGACCAGCATTATAGCACGTATTCCATCGTAAACATGTGTCCTGGAATATGAACACAAGGAAATAGTTTTAAGCTTGTCCATAGTGATTCGACCACTTAGCAAGGGTAAATTCCATTCAATTATTTTCAACGGTGCTGTAAGTGAAACACAGCGTGGTCGAACCGAAGGCATACAAACGCACGAATCCCTAACCCCCTCAAGGGACCAATACTAAACACATGCAGCAGTATCGTACATGTGATAAAAAATGGCGCATTGGGACATACCGTAACCGCATAGCGTTTGCACTTTAATAATGAATGAATTTTTGTAAATCACAACTGATACACTAGCACGTTAAGGCCAACCAGTTCTATCATGGCTCAAGAAGTGAACTGAAATAAACGCAGAAAGTATCATCCTGCTCAACTGTCTATACTATTTCTGATATACAAATGTAATTGACTATAATGAACACGCGCTCTTATACCCTCGGCCTCGAATACCTGCTGCCACTGGCAGTCATGAGGATTTGGGTGAAGTCATTTTAAGGTCAACGTGAAAAGTTACCCAGCTTAATACTCATTATGACACAATTTGGTTCCGAACACACATGTAAACGAAGGCATGCAGCGGCCTGCACACACAGTACCAATCATTATAACAGGAAGATCAGCCAGTATCATCAAATTACTCCATCGCAAGTAAATTCTGATTGGCCGAGCGTGGTCCTATATGCATAATCTCAGCGGAATAGGGCCATTCACAAGAGCATCCTCAAGATCAAAGAAAGCACACTCAAGTATAAAGTGTTACATCAGTTTTCCACTTGAATCTCTCGTAGGCAAGTTTGAAAGTAATATCCCACCATGTTCAAATGAAAAGTGTTTTGTTTTGCTTACATAGTGACCGATAATTTTGTCAAGTATTTTTGAATTTGTGTCAGTGTGTTTAATATATGTACATGTACATAGACCTGCTTATCTACTGCGCCACATTGAATGCTCACTATACCTGCTGCAGCAGAAGACGTTCCGCTAGAGACATTGACAAAAATATCACCCCTCCGAGATAGACCCAATCCACCGATCAGCAACGCGATGAAAGCCAATATCACAGCCACAACGGTCATCACCCCCAAGACTCTGTCGCCAGAGGAAGGACGGGCTGGTTTGAGAGGCGGTACTATGTGTGTCCGCGGAGTGTGAATCACCTGACGTGACACGGGTTCTCCGTCGAGTTTTGACGGTCCACTGTAGTTGTCATTCCCAGTATCTCCCGACTGCTCGTCCAGAGGCACCGTGTACAGTTTGCTGTCGTCCAGAATATGTACGTGTATTCCCGGTTGATCCTTCGGCTTTTTATCCATCGTTAACCCCAGCTCTATTTCCCTGTGTTGCTGCCCAGCTGTAGATGGAGAGTTTTAGAAAGTTTCACACACAGAAAACCGATAATTGGAGGAGATATGATGAACTATCCTCAAGTAATCCTTGAAAGTTTATATCAATTTGCACATACGTGTACAAGATCCTGTGTGACCATATGACAAGCATAGAGTACAGCTGATTATTTTCGTGACGCGCGGCTGACAAAGAAACCAGGCGTCTCAACAAAAAACACGTTACGGTTGAGCAGTTTTCTTTTAGTGAGTTACCTTGCCGGTAAAAAAAAAACCGAGTCAAGCTGATGTACATGTACACAGGTTTGTGTTGGATCTTGCAGCATGTGTCGCAAAAACGGCTAAGTAACGCGAGGGCCAAATTATCTCAGAATTTGATTACACTGTTCGAAATCGGAGATTTGACGGGATGACTTGGGTTGTTTAATCACATTCGATGCAGTCTATATCACAGTAGGGTAAAATGCGTTACCATACATACGTGTTGTAAATAGACAGATGTGAAAAAATAAAACGATCAGATGCTATAAAAACCAAACCTATAATAACGGGGTCGGAGGGCCAGAGTCAAATAAAAAACGAAAAAAGCAAATCCAGCATGCATTTTCCCGCAGCGCATCTTTGCTTCTAGTTGGTAGTGCGCCCCCTATATTTCAGCCTTAAGCATTGTGCTTTTGTCCCGATGCACTACTAATCTCTCTCCCTTACATGACAAATCTGGCTTTCCACTTTCATTTCAAAGATCTTGTCATGTGACGAAAAATGGAGGAACTCCTCCTTGCAAGAAATATACGAAACATCCTCGTTGTTGTCAAGATTTAGATAGTATTTGCGATGGTCAGGCATCTTCGGCTGTACATGTCTATGTACCTGCACGGATCAGCGGATATGTATAAAGACGCACATTCATAATGGATGTCACATCTTCCCTCAAACTGCACCAATGAGGCCCGGGTTCGAGTCCCGGCTTGGCCCAGGCTTTAAGTGCATTTGGTTTCCAGTCCATACTCGCTCTTGTAGGTTTTCTCCGGGCAGTCCGGTTTCCTCCTGCCTCTAAAACTGGACCTTCTTCCTAACGCCGTAATGTGATGCTGATTAAAAAAAGGTTATGAATGGACGTATTGTTAATAAAACAAATAGCCCGAGTAGCTAGAAGCGCCATTAAAAAAAACAAAAGCAAAAACAACCACAACACGAATGACAAAAAAAAAAGAAGAAAAAGAAAGAAAGAAAAAAAAAACAAAAACACGGCGCTACAGCTCTGTCTTAGTTACCGACAACGTATGTAACTCTCAATATGTCTTTTGGGCAATCCTGTGGGGGGGGGGTTATTCTTTAGCTTTTTTTAGTAAAGCCGATTTGCGTTGATTGTGGACATGTGTTAGTCAGAAGTTTCGCCATTTTCTTGTTCGCTAAGATATAACAGTAGTTTTACGACGTAAACATTTAAAAGAAAACAAACTTTCTGAATTAATCTTTTCTGAATTGAAATATAACAAATTATTGACCAACGCAACCACCCTCAAAGAAAAAGAGACACCTTCCAAAACAATACAGCAAAACAAACAATCAAGTTGCCAATGTCTGTCAATGTCTGCCACATACTGAAAACTTAACCTTTATTCACACGTTCTTTGCATAAACAGTAGAAATCAAAAATCCTGAATGGAGTCCCAAAATTATTGCTGAATATTATCTGTACTTAAGTAAAAAATTCACGTTCTTATAATTCTTCAAGTGGCGTTATTCAAGCTGACAGAATTTTGAATATTGTGTTCAGTCTCTTATATACAACACGCCTTGGGGAAAACCAAAGAGTAAAACACAATTTATCGTCTGACCTGAAGCCTCATCAAATTTGATTTGTGCTTAGAAGCTCAATGACGAACGATGTTGAGACTTTTCCCCTTCAAATCAAATTTGAGAATTATTTCAATCCATTTTCTGCGGTACGTGGAAACCCGGGGGTAAGCAAATCACATTTGGCAAATATTTTATACATAATTTATCACTTTTCAGCCGGCCTCAACAATGCAAATCAAATCCTTGTGGTGACTATCGGAGTCACGTGTTGTTTGTCCAGAAAGAAACTGAGTTCTGAGGAGCACGAGTTTGACCATCCAACCTTCTTTTTACATAATGAAGTCTTCCTTTTCTACCAGTTCCAGTGAAGTATCAGTGTTGGATAACTGCTCACAACAGGTTTTCATCTTTCTTCTTAAATAAATTATTTATCAAAGAGCAAACGCTGCCGGTCTGTACATCTAAAGAGACAGTGTGACTTTTTGAACAGCTGAGAGACTGTCAGAGCGTTATCTCAATCCTAAAGGAATTAACAAGAGCCGGTGCCAAACATCAAACGCCTACAAAGTGGTCCCGCATGCTTCTACTCCCTCAGATAATCTTCCAAAGACACTGCGACTGCCCCTACAAATCTTCCACACCGATTCCGCCACTGTAGGAATTAATGCACCAGATGTTGTGATTATAAAGGATCCCTTCGGGTGCTGGAGGCCCCAGAAAGGAGGCCGTTGACTTCTAATTGCAGGTGATAAAGAGATTACCATAATTCATCCTTGTAGCACGGGTTTTATATTGCACCTGCAGGATCAGTTGTTCCAGGATGGAACTTTAATTCGTAATCTAATGGAAAATTTATAAGCGTGGATCGATACGATTGGTATTTTTTCATTGGTCTCGAATAACTAGAAACTCTTGCTTAAGATTTGTGCACGTTCCAATCAAAAATAGATAAGTGGAAGAGGGTGTGATGAGAATCTTAGCTATTTGTTTTAGATCGAGGCAAAATAGAGCAAGATTAATCCGTTAAAAGCCTGTATACCCATTACTTAAACAAGTTCTTTCAGCTACGATGGAAGCGTGCACTACTTATGTATTAGGCAGCCATTTTGCTACCAAATCAGGACGGGAACTCTAGTAGAAATTCTCAGAGCATCGTGATTGCCTTTTTTGTATGTCGCCTGTTCTCATGAAGTTGGATCTAGACTGCCGCACAGGAGATTCAAGCCCATTGGTGAAGATAAACTAAGGAACAAACCCAGACAAAAATTAAAGCCACAGTCATAGATAACATATGAGGGACACCTCAAAAGCTCTTGTAGGATCTTGTTTTATCAAAACCTTTTCAGACTTGTGGTATAATTTCTTGAAATTCCAGGAATAACTTCTTTTATAAAATCCTTTTGTAAGCGGTGAATTCAAAGAGGAGCAAGAAAAGAGGAATTAAAATTTGGATCGATCTCAAACAATATTTTTAGCCGTGGTTCTGTTTCTACAAGTGGTCTTAGCAGGGCATATAACTAAAGTCTTTAAATTTGGAGATACCAATACTAGCATTGTATCTAGACGAGACCGTGTATTTATCATAATCAAAGTCCGAACAAAATTCCTGCCCTGGAGACTTGCATGTCTAAAACCACATACAGGATCAAAATGAACGGCAGATGGTTCATCATCCAATCGAGTAGAGTCCTCCGTGACTGACATCGCGATTACCTTGTCGCTTCAAAACTAATATCAGTGAAGGCGAAACGACCTGTCGGCTCGTCTAGCTTGGTAGACCCACGAGTCTGCACTCACCCAGGCTGAATTGGCGTCATTACTTCACTTTGTGAAATTAGAGCTAACCTCCTTCCAGTGTGCGTTACTGTTTTCACAAAGGGCTTTTTGTCTAATAAAGTGGCATGATATTATGACTTCACAACTCACTAGTTGGCCTGAATTCGGACCCCCTAACAAAGAGTCGTACATTAATCCTTGAAAATTCTGACAAGACGCTTAAAAGTTTCCTGTAGGCGGGGGGGGTGGTTGACTACATGCATCTTGGAATCCGCTCTGTGCCGTAAAACATGACAAACAAATCCTCAACATGTGAAATATTAACCATACTCACTTCACAGTGAGGAAAGGTATGGCGATCTGCACTTGGTTCTCAAGCGAAAATCTCCAATCCGCACAAGCATTAAGCACTACCTTCTAGATCTGCACTCTCTGAGTGAGTATAGAGGGAGTGGCACTCGACGTGCCTGTCATAGTCAGTCCCGGATTATCCATTCCAAAGTGGATCCATTAATTATCCTTACACCTGATGCTATATATCTCTGCATTGTCACCTCCCTGATACTATTATTAGTTATTCAGTGTTGAAGGCAGACATCCCATTTATCACATATTCCTGATCCATACATATACGCAACTTGTTTTTAGGGCTGGGTGTCTTCAGGTCAGTTTTATGCAGATAGAGTAGGCTATTTTCGGGCGAGTTTGAGGGTTAAAACAAATTAAAGAATAGAAATAATACAGTTAGGCTCAAGGACAAGATGTATGTTATGAGTAGGCCTACAGTATATCTGGAATACTTAAACATTTCCATCCTCGGCAGGGAATGTCAGTCCTTTTAACCTAAGTATCGTGCTTGATTGAGTATGACATGCCTTTACTGTGCGCCTGAAATGAAATCCAGCAGCTTTCTAAGTTCTACTACTCTGCTAAAACAGTCATATTAATTTTATTTCGCATTCGGTGCTTGAATGTCAATTTGCCTAAAACATCATGGTGTCAAATGCGAGCCTCATGCAAAGTTATCAGAACACCACCTTTGAAAACTTTTTTTTTACGTGTAGGCCTATAGGAGAGCTGCCAAACGTGAAAGATAAATACTTGCCAAATATAACAAGCTATCGACCATGGGTAGTCAACATCAATCTGATGCATTAAATCGCAGCACCGCGCTCTAAGACGCTGCATTTGAATTTGTACCACGTGTGGCATAATTGCAGACATGAAATAGTCGTTGAATATTGGACCCATCAGTTTGTTAATACCCGTTTGCATCAAGTTACCTGCGTGAATTGTCAGGTAAGGAACGCCAGTAACTTGCTACAAAGACAGATGAGCCATCAGCGCAAGTCCACCCGCAACGTAATGCAATTCAAATGCAGTTTCACCAGATTAAAACGACTGCAAGAGGCTGCAGAGTGTCACGGCGAAGCCTTCGTGGGGGAAAACATTAAAAACCTCCCTATGTCAAAGACATCAGTGTGTCGGTGAGAGGCTCGACCGGAGACATCACGCAGCTTGTTTCGATTTCCGTTGCAGGGAGAAACCAGGGCCTATCATCCCGAAAGCGTCATTAAGGTAGGCTGGTTGCGAACAATGGGATCAGTCACTTTTACCTCTTGGCCGATTTGTCCCCATACGAAAACGTCAGAGTGTCTTTACGACCTTTCATACGGTTTTAACCCATCCAGATAGTACATTTCCTAACACTAATTTATTTGTTGAAATATTTGTTTCATAAAAGTTGGTTCCATCAGCAAGCCACAAGAGGTAGGCCCATAACTATGCGACATATACAGTTACCCCCCAACGAATTCTTTCAGATATAAAACAGCCGTTGAGCTACTTCTAGGAGTAAATCGGACTGGTTGTCAGCTTATTATTACTGCGGCTGTCCTAAATTGGAAGACTGGAGAGCTTTTGATGTCACTAAAGCGCATGGATCACCCAGAAAAGCCGGGAATAAGGGGTTAATAATGCATTACTC